AAACACACATAGTAACAACATGTGCATTGAAAACTGTCAAAAGCTTTCCAATTGCCAGAGCGACAAACCTTTGTTGCCTTCCAAATACTTGAGAATTGTAATGCTGGTGTGCCAACAATTCTGCACCCAGGCACCTTTTTCAAGCAGGCTGTTATGTGGCTATGTCAGATAAATGCATAGAAGTAGGAGCGATGGACTAAAGGAAGAAGAAGCTGGGCAAGAACTGAGAGGCATGGCAAAGCAAATACTCCCTTGGATGGGAGCACAGGCCACCTCCCTTCATTACACTTTCTGAGGTGGTATTCACTAGACTGATCACCCTGGCCATGGGTATAACAACACTGGCACAGAGATTTATCACAATTGCAAGCCCCCAGATTCAACATTATGTGATTAATCGGGGCTGATGTCACCCTATTCCTGGGATTGTACTGTACTTTTGCCTGGAAGATCTGTAAGGGAACATGAATCTAGCGGACTTTGTAGAAATCTATCAAATACTATAGGCTTCCCCCTCTAGTGTTCATTTTTTGAAATCATGAAATTATTTATCTATGTTGTATCTTGTAAAAACCAAAACAGGATCTATTTCTCATGGGAAGCTGTTTGTATTTTATAATTAAGTCCAACATCTTATTGTAAAAATTTCAATATTCCAATTTTATCTGGACCCTTAGTCCATTTATAACTTTCTATGATCAAAATCTTATTTAGCTTTTTGCTGTTTATTTCAGATTCTTTAAATTCTTAAGCTTATAATTAAAGTTTTCTTTCATTCAGGATTAAAGGCAGATTTATCTGGCATTTTTAAACTTGTCAGTTTGAAGGTCTCTAATAACTTAGAAGTAGTTAATGAACAATTTCTGAAAGTGATTAGAAAGTGAGGTTTGCGAATTTAGTATCCCTTAAAAGTCTCTGCTGCAGTTGCGAGCAAGATGGCTAATTCCATCATCTGCCAGTGCTCAAACCTGCAGAAAACTGCTGTCTTGCAGGCTTCTCATGGGGAGCAGCCATCCAGATATGGGTGATCTCCCATCCTTTCCTTACTCAGGTCCTTGATCTTTGCTGTGGTTGTTGCCTCTGCTTTTGCAGAGCTGTCTTCAGTTTGCCATACCTCCCCCAAGATTTTAGGTAGAGGAAAGATATATAGGCCTGCTAGATGGTTATGGCAATAAAAATATTGAAGGAGACTTTTGAAGAATGGAATCAGAAAATAATAACCACAGTAATGTCAGTAATGATGTCTGCTTCTATGGATAGACTATGTCCAAAAGGTGTTATTGAAGAAATGTCAGATGTAGAACAAATTTTATCTGACAAGAGAGAGATGGTATAGAAAGTGAATTTACAACTGACAGGCCAAGACAATGATTTAGAAAAGGATGTTTCACTGGATCTACAAAAGAAACTGCCTGAGGTTTTAAAACTGAAAAAGGAAATACAAATGACAAACCAGGAGAGTGGCCTGGATAATTTTTTCCTACTGAATTTACAAAAGAGGCTTGTTAATGCCTTGAAGAAGTCTGTGAGATGGGACAAAGAAGAAATGAAGAGAAATCAAATCCTATGACAATATTTGAACAAACTAAAGATTAAGACTGTTAGAAGTAAAGAGAAGGAATATAAAGTTGGTTTATTTGATCAAGGTTAAAATAAGATATGTTGTTACTTCTGG